CTTCTCTGAATGTCCCACCAGGTTTGGTTTCTTCAGAACGTGGGATAGTTGTCCACCTACACAGTCGTCACGTCGTTATATCGCCAATGGTCCTTTAACCCTCACATGCAAAACCACATCTCGTCCTTTTACAACTCCTCCATCCGCTCTCACTGTTTCATTTTAAATAGAAGGCTGTAAAAGTGTTTTAATGTGTCGTCTCCGGAGGTTTTTAATGAATTCTTCAAAGACAAGTCTCAATATGGTCGGTGCGAATTGTTTTAACTTGGCCCCACATTTTTTACGATTGTACTTATTGAAGTGCTCGGGTTAATTAAGACCTGAAAAAACGAGAGTGTATTTTCTTTCATTTTTGATATATTCCAAATCATCATATCATCATATCACCATATTATTATATCTTTGTAGTCAGACAGATGAAATATTTGTAATAATAAACTGTTATAATCGAAAATTGGATAATTTTTTGAAAACTCATTGAAGTGATAAGCCTTGGGGTTTCTGTCGGTCACTGGTATCGGTGGAATCGGTGGGAAATACACAGGAAATACTCAGCCATTGAGGTGGATGAATAGAATTTTATTTTCTCGTGTTTGTGATCGGCAGTGATACATTGTCGTTCATTGGAAGCGCGGTCACGGTCTCGACCTGCTTGACAAGCTCTCGATCACGGCGTGAGGTCCGTTTTCAGACATATTCCTGGAGCTGGATTGTGTCTCCATAGTATTCCAGACAGTGTGCCAGCACCCCGTAAAATGTCTGGACAATGACCACATGAGGATGTGCAACGTCACGCGCGCGCCTCTCCGTCGCCGTTTGAAAAGATCTTGTGCACACGCTCTTCTCACTGCGTGGGGTCCTTATCTCCCCCCAGCATTCCACTTTTTCCAACGATTTATTTTTCCCCAATGTCCAGTGATTATTCATCGCTTAATTAATCCTAATGATCTATTCTAGGTTTTTTACTTGCCTCATTGATATTAATAGTCTCACACTCGGAATAATAACGGGTACTCATTATCTCAGCATCAGAATGTAAATGGAACTCCCAGAATCGGGAAATATCGTCGCCCACAGAATAATTATAAATTCCGGGGTTCTCTGTTGTCTATTATTAACATTAGGAATCAGTGGCATAACTCTACCCATTGGAATCTCTGGGGTTGTTTTTTTTTAAACCTAGGAACATGCCGGTGTGAATGCTATCTTCTCGAGATCGGAAACACGCCCAACTGACAAGAAATCAACGAATAAATCAAATTGGGAGCTTCTCCCACGTGTGGAAGCCCTCGAGATTAAATGTTAGAGTTGAAAAATACATGAGGCTATTCAATGATGCATTTACTGTTAACTAATTTATGGATGAGAGAAAAATACTTCCGCTTCGACGTTGGGTAACTATTTTTTCATTAAAGCGCTTGGGTATTTCTGTATTGATTTCTATTGGACATTCTTTCTGTGCTCATTCAAGCTGATAAATGCTCGTCGAGCAGCTTTTTTTTAGATAAGAAAACGATTAAAAAAATTATTATAATCAGAGCGTAATTAACGTCACGATTGATGAACATGACGTGTCCATGGATGCCATAGCGTATGGTGGACTCGCACCGCAATTTACTCTCTATTGAAGATTGGAACAGCCCTATCCCATCTCAACGTGATGTTATAGACTCGTACTTCCTCAACAACCATGTGCTTCCCATGAGTGTGCAGTGGACATCATGCAGCGCGAGTTTGCCATGACAATGAACCTCTACAACACAACGAAAACATGGTTGCCTGGCCCTGACAACAATGAAAATCCACCAGAGACATCTCCCAAAAGTTTGTTCCCCAACATTTTGACAACTGTGTGAATCTAATTGTCTACGGTAACCCAAAGCATTCACTCCGAGAAAAGAATTTCCTTTATTTCGGATGATGTCTTCCTTGGGAATACACGGACAATCTAAGAAAAATTGAGAAATTCTGCGGTGCATCGGAGGGTGCAGTGGGAAATATTGAATGTTTATGGTGTTCAGGATGTCTGCAGGACCACCCGGACACGCAGTGGGTTACCTGAAAACGCTGCTAATGAACCCTAACATCATGGGACTTTTTGACTTCCTGACTTCCTGTTGTGAATCACGGAGAAGAGCTTCGAGGTGGTATTGAGATATCTAAAGAACTTTTGAAAAAATTCTGAAATAGAGAATTGGTGCTGCAGATGGTGATTTTTATTTTTCCTTATTTAACATATCTGGATTGAAAATATTGAGAGAGAATTAAAATATGAATATCATTACCGACACGTGTTCATAAAGTTCACGTGCGTGTGGTTTGGAGAAAATTGTTGTCTGTTTGGAATTCTGTAATCCTGCTCCACGCTTTGCCGCACCTCGTTTGGAATAGCTGGGGATCATTGAGGATCCTGGATGATGGTATATACACTCGAGAATTCCTCCGCGTATTACGTAGGTGGGGAGCATGTGCATCTACCATCTACCGACCCGCAAATGGCATAGACGAGGCCAATGCACGGGTGTGGAACAGAGACCGAGGAATTGTTCAAGGGAGATGATGCTGAGGTGAAAGAACAGAGAGAGAGGGTGAGAGAGTATTGCAGAGAGGAGAGTGAAGAAAAAAAGACAGCATGTATGTGGAAAGTGCTGGCTCGACCACCTGTCCCATCTTCTAGGTCTAAGAATAGAGTGCAAGGAGTTGCGCCGACAAGATGCTGCTTACTGACTTTTACTCGGCTTATATCACAGTCCTTGAGACTCTTCAAGATTGCACGTGTCACGGATGTGCATTTCCATCATTTTATTCTCTCAGAGTTATAATAAAGATTGTACTAAATAGACTTGGATTGCTTTAGAGAAAAAATCATTTGTTTTTAATATCGATTTTGTTGATGTTGTTTTTATGTTATACCTCCGGGGTTTTGTTATCATCCGCGAGGTGAATTTATATGGAACCGTTCATCAACCGTTCGTTGATGAAAAAATTCGATTTAGGAAAATTTCACTTTTTGCCCGCAGGATAGGACTGGAGGGGCTGGAGTGAAAAAACTATTTCTGTTTTCGTATTTTTTTTTTCTTGGGGGGTTTCAGGGTTTTATTATTTCATATGGGGTGAGTATATATAAAATGAACCGTTAGTCGATGAAAAAAATTGATTTTGAAAAAAATGAGAACCTGACGTGATATTGAGCAGGATCATCTCAACGGTTTATCAGACATTCGAATGCAACACTTGGAAATTTTTCGTTACCCCTAACGAGCGATCTTACCTGCCATCTTGGACTGTTGTAAGGTAAACAACCGGCTTCATTTCCATTCTCAACGACCCCTCATCTCCATATTATCGAAATCCAGTGTAAACCGCCGAAAATCAACCGCCGAAAACGTAATGGATATCCATCGAATATTTCATTCGCCGTACGCTGTGGCCATATTGTCCAGAATTTAACGCGTGTGCATCGACCTACATTTTCCATGGCTTGAACAATCTCCCGGGACACCGCTCTGAAACACAGTTTTCCGGTTCATCGAGCAAAGAAATAGATCCTTGAAATTTATCGCTACCGATAAAAGAGAAAAGTTGAACAATTTCGTATCATAAAACTCAAAACATCATTCCATTACAGACATCTATTTTTTAGTGACAAAAACTGTTGAGCGTTGTCGGAGAGGATCTGCCACCGGACGAGCCTGAGAAATAGTCAACGATTTCAGGGTATTAGCTGGTTCAAGTCCCCCAGTCCGTAAAAATGGCAAATCCCCAAGAGCAGGCGGACGATCCGAGTAATCTCGAAGCTCCAGCCAAAAAGGTCATCGTTCCTACCAAAATCTCCATTTTCCCAGGGTCACTTCTCCAAGAGCAAAAACTAATTCGATCGAAAAACCTATCCCCCTCGTTACACCGCCGATTAGAACACTAGCCTCTTAATGATATCAATTTTATTCCACCGAGCGCAAAGCTTCTCATTTAAATTTTTAATTTCCCGCAGTATTTTACGATTTATTTATCAACGCCTGGTCCTCTCTCTGCATCTCATCCATACAATTACTCACGATGAATCCACTTTGTCCTGAAGAAAGATCTTCACAGAAAGTCACTCGACTACAGTTAGATCGCCCATTTTGATATCTTCACTAAAAACACCAGCCACCCAGGGTGTGAGGATGGAACCAGATGGCAGTCTGGAGATATACTCACCCATTTCCTGACGCATTAGCCATTTTACGGTGTGCCAGACGCCCAACATCTTCAATAGCGAAGAGCACAGGTGAAAGTGAGATTAAAAAATGAGACAAAAGCTGAACGACAATTATATCTAATAATAATTTATCATTAATAATAATTATTTATTTATCTGGCCCACAAGTATTCCACGATATTAAAAAACAACTTCCACAAGTGCTCGATCATGTTTTTCTTGCGGATGTGCTGAAACACCTCCATTGGAAAATGGCGCTTATACAAAGAGTATATCGCAAGACCTCTTTACCCCAATATTTGTTCTATCCTGAATGTCGTTACCTTAGCCAAAGGTAACTTAATAATGCAAAGTAAGGGAAAAAAGCTCTCGACGGGACACAGCTGCGTCTGTCTCGTGCCCAGTGAGGCTGCAATCGAGGGGTCGTGATTGTTCTCCGAATAAACGAGTTGCAGAAGAAGAGGAAAAAAAAAAGAAGCCACGAAGAATGAGATAAAGGCAAGGGAGATCCGTGAGCGTTGCAATTGCAACTGTGTCCCGAGGAATCGCCAGTTGGCCTGTATGAGGGAATAGCCTTGGAGGCCCCCCTCGAGAGTACACCGAAGAAATAGCATGTTTCCTTCTTCCCCCATCCACCTTTTCCTCTGAAGTACCCGGAGAGACAAATTGAGGTTCATCACGTTTTCCACTGGAGAATCTTCACCCAAGTGCCACCATGACCGAGAACAATGAGGATAACTCCTCGTGTGTGATGATATGCATGAAACGAAGGGGTTACCCTGATGATAAAAGAAGAGAGTAAGAAACTCAAACGAGATTGAGTCTGATTGCCAACCTCCCGCGCACAAACTCCCCTGAATGCTCATTACAACTACTGGTGTAGCCTCCGAGCACTGGATGCAGCAGCTGAAAAGGAATATTTTAAAGGCGCCTTATTCGACGCCCCAATGCGAAAGAGAATGATGACCAGATATAGAGGAGATATTTAAGAAGATTTATGAGACTCAGCACGGTGCGTTACCAGCTACATTCAGAGCCACCATCGTGCTTATTTTAACGAAAAGAGGATCACGATGAGTGTCATTTTGCGTTTTGGTTGCATTAAAGAAGCGGCACATCGGATCAATGAGGGCCTGCAATATCTCCCAATCGTCTGATTTGAACTCCTGGGATGGGAGAGCCCGTGTTGTATTCTTCATGGCTCTAATAATATCGGCTGGGCTGTGTAATCAGTGATGATTTTCGGACCTTCATTATTATTCTTTCATGGGTGAGAGCGTTGAATCAGCGTTGAATCAGCGTCAATGCAATCTTCCTGGTGATCAAAAATTTTCGTTATTATCTCACTGGGCACATCATTAGAATAGGAGGAGGGGGAGGGTTTAAATCAATGTCCGTGGAGACAATTAACTGGCGAGCGTGAGTGAATAGATGGCTATAATGTCTGGGAAGTTGAATCATGTTGGGTGGTGAAGGGCAAGGGGGTGTACCGAGGCGAAAGGGAAAAGGAGTGAATCACGCGCACGCCACCTGCCGGAGCGTGACCTCTTAATGCGCACACCGAAGATATATACGTGGGCGTTATATCTCGAGTCGCACGAGAGAGGATTCACCTCTCTGTCTTTCTCCTTTCAAACGGTTTCTTATTTTTGCCGTGCAGGACGGGTTTTTCTCGCTGCATTTTTTTTTTTTTCATTTCTTTCCTTCAAGGGGAGGAGGGCTCGAGCATTGACTGGACGTTACGAGGGGGAGCAGTTGGAGTGAGGTGAGATGTGAAGGAGTTCCTAGCTTCATCTAGGATTTTTCAACCTGGAAACATCACCAGTTGATGTATTCTTCCTTCGATCCAATAGACATTCTTCTGAGCTTCTGATACTCCTCCCGGTATCATCCATTCCAATAAATTTCTTAAGTACTTCTCATCCAGCCGAAACTGGATATTCGTGCAGGTCTCATCCGTCATCGTTCCACTCATCCCAATCACGTTGAAATCCACTTCTAAGTCTCTCTCTAGAAAATCCCTCATTCTCAACCCCATAGACGTAATCAAGTTACCGCGCGTCCAGAGCACTCGAGGCTGATTAATGGTCGAAACGCGGGCAACACCATTTCTCAAGAGCCCCCCCGTCCACCCCTCGCCACGAGTAAGTTCACACTAAATATCGCCTGAGTGGAAAAAGTCAGGTATATATTCGTGGGTAAGTTGAGTTTATCTCTCGTGGCAAAAAAGTACTTGAACCAAAAAAAAGTGGGCCCCTCACGATCGAGTACTTGTGAGTTATCCTGGGCAGCTGCTCAAGGGAAAGGGGGGCTCGACCCCTCCGGGGCATCACCTCGCGTATTCACGCCCCACGCGTGCAGATACACCGCATTTTCTCTCATCATTTTTTCATCCACAACTCATACTGAGTGTTCACAATATTTTCGGATACATAAACATTTTTTCATAGAATCCTCACTTTCAGATTCTTCACAACTGCATTATTCCATACCACTGATAATAATAATCTAATAATAATCTAATAAACGTAATAACAATTTTTGTAATATTATTTAAATTTGTTTGTTCTTCATTATTTTGATTATTTCAGTTATTGAAATATACTTTAATTAACGATGGACGCTCAAAAAAAGAGCAGATGATTGCAATAAAAAAAGCACTTCAATATTTCAAGTAATTTGATTTATTTGCTATAATGAATCGTGACATCTCATTACTGCCCACCAAAGCGACGATGTCTCCATTTAATATTAATTCATTTTTTATTTATTTATTTTATTGTATGAGTTTAACATCAGGTATGGAAGAATCATACCAGAACATGATATCACGATGGAAAATGATTTCTGGAATATCTGAGTCGAATGATGCACCACTGATTGACGAGGCAGGGCGTATGTACACCCGGGGAAGAGTCACCGAGATGGCAATATAAAGCACGTGCGCAAGTATAAACGCGAAAGGAGAGAACGTGAAGTCCCAGTGGAAACACCTGCCCTGTGATTGCTGTCTCGCTTCATCCTTTGGCTTGATGGCGTTGCACGCGAGTGAAGGGTACATAAAACCCATGGGTCCAGGGTAACCCAACGAAGAGGTAGATTCACGGGCGTTGATACATATTTGCTTGTCCAATGTATTTCCACAGTGTACATATTCACAAACGTTCGTCGTCGTATTCTTATTCCTCGCCAAATGCGTTGTGTTGCCCAAAGGCGAATAAACTCAGTCTTTTGCGCCCAGTCACTCTCGGGAATTCCTCGGAGATGAATAATGCCATATGGAAGTATTGCTCAAGGCTATTCAACGAGAAATTCTTTTACTTTCTTCTCTCATTTTTATTCCTCCGCGCTTTCGTCGCTTTCCATCAATATTTTTTGTCACTATCGTATGGGGAAAAAATTCATTTAATAACCAAAATGTATAACAATACATTGAATAGAATAATATCTGTAGGAATTCAGTTGATCAAATTGAATTGAAAATAATTTTCATTATGCATTTAAACAAATGATAAATTATTTATTTAAATAGTGACGACACTTGAGTTTTTTGGGAAGGGATTCTGGCGGCAGGGCGACCAAAAATCTGCATAAGTGATTCTGAATTTCGCGAGGAAATTTTTTTTTTTTTCGGATGGCATCCGCGGAACAACGCACACGTGTGGAGTGTATATGCATCGCGAAAACCGGTGAGTGCATTAAATCGCGAAGTTCGAGAGAGGATACGGTGAGGAGGGAATGATCACACGCAGTGAGGAGGTAAATATATACGCAGGTGTGCCCCATGAGAGAATACCAAGGAGGAGGCACGCGCAACCAGAATCAAAGCGCGTGCCCGTGTGAAAGTTGCCCCCCGCTAGTTCCCCCCATGGATTGCTCTGATGCAGAATAAGTAGTTATGAATTTTTAGATGCGGAATGTTAATGCCGTGGGGATTGGAGAGTTACGTCGACAGTGACAGCAACCGACAAGTTGTCATGAAGGGAATGGAGTAATTAGAATTAATGCAACTGCCAGTCATACTTATTGCCAGTTGAATTGAATGTGCGAGTCTGGGGATTTATACGACGAATTATCAGCTTTTGCCGAGTGATCAGAGAGTGAGATGTCATTTTTAGTTTGATCAGACGTGCGTGCTTCTTTGCGGATTACAATATTATTCGCACATTCACGATGTGAATGGTGTCGTCGCAATTCGACGAGAGACTTCCACAATTGAGTATTTCTCATTCAAAAAATTTGGGACCAATTCGAGGGAATGAAGAAATTTATTTGGCAAGAAGCCTTGAAAAAAAATAATGAATCCATTAGTAGCTATAAAGACAGAGCAAGAGAGGAATAACATGATGTTCGCCCAGTTAAAAGTTTATTTCTCTCATCGATCACAGTTTATATCGTTTTGGATCGAGCAACCGCAATCGATTCTCCCCGCGGCATCGCCCACTCGTGCCCAGAGTCCAGAAGATCCCAGAAAAAACCATGGACGAGGAAAAAAAAGCAGGTCCTCAACCCGCCTCGGTACTCCACCTCATTTGTACACTCCACCAGCGATTTTCGGTTTTTATATCGAGTCGAAGACTCAGACGAGTCGTAACCCGATTCCAGCAAAAAAGTGAAAATAAATGGTGAAAAACGATTTTATTTATAGCCTGGAGAGTACGAATAAAGCGGAATGCCAGTGGTTTCCGAAAAAATTCGATAGTCCTTTGAAATCCCGCGGTGTGATTGTCAAATCTCAAGGGAGTGAAGGGGAAAAAAAAATTGGGATGCATTAAATAGTCGTGTGCATGAGCCAGAGCAATTTCTCGTTTTGATGTGAGGACTCACTAGGACAAGGTCTCTATCGCTGAAGAACACTGCGGGGTGTCTAGCTTCCAGCAGAACGACATGACCTCTGGTGTTCCACTAAGAATGGACAATGAATGCCATGAGACATTCAGGGCAATAGGGTAGAGAAATGCATACACGGATTCACCAGTTTCAATTCAATTTTTCAGTGGGAAAACTGGATGACGTAGTCCTGGTTCGTTTCACTCGTACTTGAGAGTGCACCGCAGTAATGGGATTGAACCGCAAAATGTTCTCTTCCATATTCGAGGCTATTCTGCGGGGCCAATCGATATTTATAGAGGATAATTTGTTTGGTTTCCAGAGGTATTCGCAGGAAGTTGGCGGAAACGGTTGAGTGCAACTGACTATCAGATTATCAAGTCAATAGGAGAAACTGGAGATTAAATTCCATAAATTAAATCAGTGAGAATGTTTTCCGACACGTCTCTATGAAAGATTGAATAGATAGACTTTAGAGCTTGAAATTATAATCTCAAATCTGGAGGATGTGAAATAAAATCGAAAGAAATCTCTAATTGCACCGATTTGGATGATGAAGAAACGAGTGAAGAAGTATTAATGCCACCAACAGCGATAATCCCCCAAGCATATCTCCCCAATTCCAATTCCTGGACATCAGATGTTCTGAAGGAGGTATCACCGATTAGTTTCACTCCACGATCTTCACTGGCCCACACCAATATTCTCAAGTTCTCTGGGTTGCCTCTGCCAGTAAGTGATCCCAACGACAACCGGCTTCCGGTTTATCCAGGCAGATAATGACAGCGGGACACCACAAAAGATTTCACCGAAGGACCTCTTGTAGTTCTACCCTCGAGGGATTCCCCATGGGCACCTCCTATTATTCTCAACTCAAAAATCTTCGCGAAAAAAAAAAAAATCCACTGACCTGATGATAAATCTCTGTGTGCGTTTTGTGTACATGTCCCGGGGGACTAAATTGCGCTCTTGGTGAAATGGAATACACCTGCCCTCACTTTGGATGAGACACGCTTCCCCCCATTGGTCTTTATTTCATGAGAGAACGTTTCGAAAAACCTCAGTGCACATCTCACTTTTTCTTGTTGTTTTTTCATTATCATCGGGAAGAGAAACAATTGGCCCACGAGTTTCAGAGCTCCAGGGATTTTATCCTGATACAAAAGACGGGCAATTATCGTTATTTCTGGCAGCTAAATACTCCCAGTTTTTTTTTACCCAATTTTTATTCACTGAGAAATGATTTTTATTCTGTTAGTCCTGATATGATTCAATTATTTCTTCATCATTGATCATTCCTGAGTGAAACTGGATCGTTATTTCTCCGTACGAAAAATGAATGATTTATGCCTGTTGGATATTAAATATAATGAATCTGTTAATTATTTATGGGTAAACGGAAAATGTTCATTGGAAACTCAGTGGGATACGCGTGACCCCACGAACTCCCCTGGTCATACGATTCCGCTATAATGAGGCAGATAA